TCCAAATCTGTCGGAATTCTGTTCAAAGGAGACAAATTCCATGAGTCTCATTGGAAGAATTCTCAACCCAGAAAGTCAATCGGTCTCTAGTTTAGTGCTTGACATGCCCAGGAAATGGCAAATCTACGATCGTGTTCGCGGAGTTGCTCTTTCACCAGAGAAATTTCAGTTTATCTTCAAATATGAACATGATTTGGAGGATATTCTTAACAAAGGAGTTCATACTTATAATCAGTGGTCACTTGCAATCGATAGATGGTTTGAAACACCTCCTGAGGATTATCTTCAATTCATTCCAATATGGGTTCAGCTTCGTCACATACCAATCAACCACTACACTCCGGATGCTATTCGGACTCTTGCTGGGTTTGCAGGTAAAGTTATTGGAATGGATTTTGATCAAACTAAAGATTTTGTCCGGGTTCGTATCAGCTTTGATGTCTCAAAGCCACTTCGGCGCTCGAAAGTTGTTAATCTTCCCTCTGGAGAAGCTACAACTATCCTCTATGACTATGAGAGAATTCAGAAAAGATGTTATTTCTATCAGCGCCTTACTCATGAACGTGATAATTGCCCTTTGTTCAAACGAAAGCAGCAAGCCTTGAAAGATAAGGAGTCTCTTAACCCTGTCTTGAATTCACCTTTAGCTCCTTCCTCTCTGACTTCTGATCGCGTTCGGATTGATCCCTTAGTAATTGAAGAGTTGCGTCAGTTCTTCGTTGACTCTTCAAATCTGAATCGTTTTAGCATCAACACTCAAGGCAAAATTTCTGATGATACTTTAGCGATTGGTCATACAATTCCTCCACCTCCGGCTTCCTGTTTACAAGCTCCTTCTCATGAAAAAGGAAAAGGAATTGTTATGGAATTAGAGAAAGAATATTATGATGGTCAAGCTTCTTCTCTTGGACTTCATTCTGACAAAAACTTGACTTGTCTTTCCTTACCAGATTTTATGTTGTCAGAGGAACCAGATCCAATTTCTCCATGTTCTTTTGGTTATAAAGGAACCTCTACTGATACTCCCTCTACTTCTGAAGCTGGTACATCTAAGCCTCATCTAAGGAAAGCTTATATCAGGAAAAAACCTTACAAGCCTAGAAGGACTCAGAAAGGTACCACTACTCCTTCTTTGTTGATATGCACTGAATTGGCCAAAGGTTTAGATCAAGGTATCATTCAAAAAAGAAAGAATTCTGAAGAATCAGACTCTACTACCAAAATAGCTAGGTTATCAAAACTTGAGATGGTCCCGAACGAGGGACCGTCTAAGCATTAATGAGCTTAATGAGTTGGAATTGTCAAGGCTTGGGACGGTCTCAAGACTTGACAATTCCTCGACTCATGGAAATGCGTAAAGAACATTTTCCTGAGTTGTTATTCCTGATGGAAACAATGCATAATAGAAATGTTTTGGTAGATTTACAAGAATGGTTAGGCTATGATAGAGTTCTTACTGTTAACCCTGTTGGTAAGAGTGGTAGATTAGCCTTATTTTGGAAAAACAGTGTAGCTATAGATGTGAGCTTTGTGGATAAACATCTGATAGATTTCCATGTTCAGTTTGGAACTTTTGGTTTTTTGTCTCTTGTGTATATGGTGATCCAATGTTTATATCAAGACCTTTAGTTTGGGAACGTTTGATGCGTATAGGCATTGAAAGGAAAGGTAGTTGGTGTATGATAGGTGACTTTAATGAGATTTTACACAATGGAGAGAAATTAGGTGGTCCAAAACGAAGTGAATCGTCTTTCAAGCCCTTTGCTGATATGATTAGAACTTGTGGCATGGATGAATTACCTTCTGCTGGTAATAGTTTTACCTGGGGTGGAATGAGAAGTAAATTGTGGATTCAGAGTAAATTAGATAGAAGCTTCGGCAACAAAGACTGGTTTCAGTTATTTCCAGCTTCCAATCAGACATTTTTAGACAAAAGAGGCTCAGATCATCGACCAGTTTTAGTTAAATTCTCATCTTCCAATCAGACTTACAAAGGCAACTTCAGATTTGATAAAAGATTCTTAAACAAGCCTCTTGTTAAGGAAACCATCATTACAGCCTGGTCTAATGTCTACCCTTTACATGCATCTTCAGTCTCTGATAAGCTTAGGAGTTGTCGTAAAGGCCTCAACAAATGGAAAAGAGTTAATTGTTTAAACTCTCAGGATAAAATTAATCAGATTCAAGTGGCTTTGGAGCATGAACAGTCTTCTAACTCACCATCAGTATTTCATATCCGTGGATTAAAGAATCAGCTGATCTTAGCATATAGAGAAGAAGAATCTTTTTGGAGCCAAAAAAGCAGGGAAAAATGGATGGATGAAGGAGACTCTAACACAAAAATTTTCCATGCTTCAGTTAAAGCTAATAGATCTAGGAAAAGGATTGAAGCTTTACAGGACATTCTTGGGAATATTCAAACTTCTGAGGCTTTTAAAGGAGAAATCGCAACATCCTATTTCAAAGACTTATTCAAGAGCTCTAACCCTGGGAACTTTGATTGGCTCTTCCATGATTTTCCTGTTAAGGTTTCTCCACAAATGAATGAATCTCTGATAAGACCAGTGTCTTCAGATGAAATTAAACAAGCTGTTTTCTCGATTAATCCTTCAAGTGCTCCAGGTTCAGATGGTATGACGGGTCTCTTTTTTCAGAGTTACTGGGAGATCATTGGTCATCAAGTAACCATGGAAGTTCAGACCTTCTTTAAAACTGGTTCATTTCCATCGGAGTGGAACTACACTCAATTGTGTCTTATTCCCAAAGTCCAAAATCCAACCTTAATGTCTGACCTTAGACCTATCAGTTTGTGTTCAGTTTTATATAAGATAATTTCTAAGGTCTTGACTTCCAGACTGCAACCTATCCTTCCTCTGATAATATCTCCCACTCAATCAGCTTTTGTCTCTGAGCGTCTTATTTCTGATTATATCTCAATCGCTCATGAATTGGTTCCTGCTCTTAGGACTCACCCTGTTATCTCCTCTGAGTTTATGGCCATTAAGACGGACATGTCCAAAGCCTGTGATAGACTGGAATGGAGCTATCTTCAAGGTTTGCTTACGGCCTTAGGTTTTCATCAAAAATGGATTGATTGGATAATGTTCTGTGTTTCTACTGTCACTTATTCTCCAGTGATCAATGATCAACCTTTTGGTATGGTCGTGCCTGGCTTGCGTCAAGGAGATCCCATATCTCCTTTCTTATTTGTTTTGTGTACTGAAGGTTTACCTCATATGTTGAATCAGGCTGAGAGAGAAGGATCAATTCAAGGAATTCAATTCGCTCCAAATGGACCAGCAATTCATCATCTTCTCTTTGCTGATGACAG